AAATAAAAAATAATTTTAAAACATAGCATATATTATAATATTAAAAATAAACTTAGCAATAATAACACAAAAATGAGATTAGCAAGACCCTTATTGTGCGTGTTATACAGTGTTGATTTTATTTTTCAATTAATTATAAGTAGAAATAAAGATGAAAATGTAACCATCTAAATATTTTTCACGACATGGATTTAGATATGAAAGAAACACCTTTTCTTTTCTTTTTCATTTTATTATTTGAACATAAATTTATTTTTATATTTTTCTAGAATAGTAAAATATTGCTCCATCGCTTAACGAGACCGCAAGGTCTCCAGTTTAGGTGAATTGGATCTGTATGGGTGCATAGTAATGACCTTTCAGTATGGGCCTATGTTTATTTCTTAAACTGGGTTTTCTCTTGACTTAGCCTAGGGAATGCTTTTCTGATGTGAGAGACCTATTTTTTTTTTTTTTAAAAAATCTAAAACAATATGTAGGACTCATAAAATATTTTAGTATTATTATTAAATTTGAATATATATATATTTTTTAAAATTATTTATTAAGGTAAATTTTTTATTAATGTATCTCTTATTTATTTTAATCAAAACAATGTTTTTAATTGATATTATTGTTTTTGTTGAAAACAAAAATATTTTATAATTGTTAAAGAAAGTTAATAAAAAATATCAAAATAGTATATTTATATTTTGTGTGTTTGAAAACTTAAAAAATCATAAATATAATACAATTATTTTTAGAATAAATTTCAAAAATAACACCAATCTTCATCAATTATTATTATTATTATTATTATTGAAAAAACTGAAAAAGAGAGAGCAAAGACTAGGCAGCCTTAATCTATTTATTTTCTTTCAATTAAGTGGGGGAATGACTTATTATCTGTTTGTTTATTATGAGTGCTTTTACTTTTAAAATAAATCACATAAATAAAATGTTTAATAAAATATAAAATATTGTTTGTTAGATGTAGAATGCACTATAATTTATGTTTTAAATGTAGGTTATTTGAAAAATATTAATATGTTTATTTGTGTAGATTAAATTAATTCACTTTGCGCTGTTCATTTCTTAAAGTAAATAATGAATAATGAAGAATGTTTTTATTATTTATGGTTGAATTGGTCCAACTCAAATTTAAATGTATTGGACCGTATTTGATTTAATAAAAAAATTTTAATTTTTTTAATTATATTTTATTAAAAAAATACTATTTAATATTATTTAGTAATACTATATAAATTAGAAGGAGATCGCATGATGACATAATATTTATAAAATTTGATCGCAATCCCAATATAAAATATAGTTATTATCGGTTGGATTTCATACATGATGGAATTGTAAATAGTTTAATGAAATAATAAATATATGTTTTTTATATGCATTACATCAAGAAACTAACCACACCTCTATCCAAACACACACTAAAAAGGATTAACATTATAGTGTCCTCTAAAATTTTAACACATATTAAACAAACCACAATGACTTAAAATTTACCTCACAATATAATAGAGGGATCAACTTTGCCTTCTAACCAAAAGTATAAGGACTCAAATTGATTTTAAAGACATGCCATAATAGTAATTGATCAAGGAAAAAAAGTCATTCAACCAATTATTGAAACGAGAAATATCGGTTTACATATAATTCCTTTTTTCTATATATCAAATTAACATTTGCAGCCAAGATGTTAAGGTGGTGAGTTTAGACAAAAAAAATAAAAAATAAAATTGGACATCATGACCTTTTGATAATTGGACATCATGACCAATCCATTTACCCGTATTAAGTAATTAATAATTTCACTAAGGCAAAATGGGCTTCAATTATAGTAAAGGATATGATATCTATTACTATTTTTTTCACTTGTCTATTTTGACAATATTTAAAGTATTGGTAGAGCGTTGAGAAAACGATATCATTTTCATGTATCCATGGTTGTCCAAGTAACATGTTATAAATAGTTTTAGTATTTATGACCTGAAAAATTGCATTGAACTTCATATCTTCTAATGAGTATAATAATATCTTTTTCATGGTGTTTTTTCCTTTTTAATTAAAGCCTTGAATCATAATATGACTTAAAAAGAGTTTGTTCATAGGAATCTAAAGCTCTTTTATGGTTTTAAGAGGTAGTATATTGACAATCAAACCATCGTCCATCAAAATATAATTCATCATCATTTCAATGGCATAACCTTTGATAAAAAAAAAGGAGGAGGAAATTATAAAGTTTTGATTCGAATAATAAATCTTTATTTTTGAAAGATATTTTCGTGGTGCATACACCATGAGGCAAGTTTGAAGAGTCATCATAACTTTTCTTTATGGCTCTATCCTTTTTAGCTCCTTCAACATGTTTTCATTTAGTGTAATGGCCTTCTTTAAGTTTTGAGTTGGCAAAACCTTTTGTTTTTTAACTAGTGTAGACTTTCATCGTATCTTTCAATAAATTGGCTTATCAATTATCTTCTTTACCATCAAGATTTTTATTATAGTTAGCTTTGTCATCTACACCGTTTTCCTTCCTCTTTTATCAATGACTAAAGTCCATCATTCGTTATCATAATTCTTAGATGAATCAAGCTTTAAGTTGCTAGCTTGTAGTATAAGGGTTATATGTGAAACTTGACTTTCTGATAAGCTCATAGGAAAAAGGATGTCAAGTTCCATAAGTTCAAAGGAGCCAAAATTTGTTTCTGGTAGAGACTGGTGTGAACCCAAATTCATCATGTTTGTGATATTAAAAAAGTTGTTACTTCATCATAAAAAATAATTTTCTCATTCTCATGTAGCCTTATAAACTTGTCTTTCAACACAAAATATTTTCTACACAATGAGTGATCAAGTAATGATATTTGTAATAATTTGGATTATTTATTTGGTTTACTTCTCTGGTATGTTTCAATTTCAGTAGCTCAATGAGATTTGCTTTAAGCAAATGATCTAGCATTCTAGATATGTCTTAGTTAAATACTCCTTTTCTTGTCACTCTTTCAAAGATGACTTCTTTCTTTTACCATTTTAAAAAGTAGCCAGTGTTGCATAATCATTTATTTTGACTCCTGTTGGTACTTTTATAACATCATAATTAGTTATTAAAGAGTATTTTTCTTCAACTTTTAGAATATTATTTCTGAATCTATGACCTTCAGGCTTATTGCTCTTGGGCTATTATATAGTTAATTATGAGATTTTAGCAGCCACAATGCTAAGTTTCATGTTAAGTGCTTGACTAGCTAATTCTTCAAAAGGCTTTGATTTGATGCCTTGTAAAATACAGTGTAGTCCCTAATATATCCATTGAATACACATATTTAACGCATACGTTCCGATGAGTCGATCCTTACAATCAATGACATGCTTTTCCTTATATTGATGTGTATTGGTGAGTTCAATCTTACTGACCACACGATGAGTGTTGTAGAAGTGGTTAAGAAACTCGCGTTCTAATAGCTTCCAACTATCGATTGAGTCATACTTTAAGTTAGTATACTAGTCGAAGGCATTACCTTTCATCGAATAAGCAAACTGTTTAACCATGAGATCACCATCAGTTTTGACATTGTTGCAAGTCTCCACAAAATGAGCTGCATGTTGCCTTGGATTCCCTCTTCCATTATATTATTAAGACTTTGATGGTTGATAGCTCAAAGGCATCCATAGCAAGTCAAGCCTTTAGGTGTACAGCTTCACATAAAAATATAAAGGTTGAATTGATCTTTCTACTTTGTCCGTTATGACTTTTTTTTATAAGTTCTGTTAGTTAATTGGTGGTGAAGATGCCATTGATAATACTGTGGATATTCCTTGTGGCTCTAATTGTAGAACCCTCAACGACATCTAATTGATCTACTTGCAAATCCTTTATAGTTGAAGTTTGGCCTCCCTCGTTCATGCTCTCGAGTTTGTTTATCAGCTTTGTTATCTAGTGTTCTTTTGCCTCGAGTGAACTTGAAAGCCCTTTGATGAGTTTTGATAAGTCAGCCACTTGATTCTCCAAAGCCACTTGATTCTCCAAAGATGCAGTCTCGATCATTATCACTAACATGATGCTAAAACCCAAAACCTTTCTTAATGATTGATATAGAGAAATCTTTATGAGTGAATTTTCAGAGTAATCACCTTGAGTGTCAAAAAAAAGCCCACACACCCCATTTGACTCTTATTGTGGAGATACTTGTAGCTTTAGTTTTGGAGCAAACTCTCATTCCTCCTTTGCATTCGATGCTGAAATCAGCTCAATAATTGGCTTAGTTTGCATATACAACTCTACGATAAATTTTATTTTCAATGATAGGTTGAAGAATCTTCAACAGTATATTGATGACTTAAATTAGTAGCCTTGTTTTTTTTTTTTTTAAGCGACAATGATGATCATGTTTTTCTTAGTTGTTATTGAGAGGTTGTTGGAAATTCCTTTTGAAAGGAAGACAAAAGAGGTATAGATGTCCCTAGTGGAGTTGCTAGAAATTTATAAACACAATTTTGAGTACCTGAAATTCGATAAGCACATGTATATAAATATTTGATTTTATTAAATATATGACTAGGTACAATCTCTATTTAAAATATTCTTACAAAAGAATAAACAATTCTTTTATCTTTCCCTTGAATTTGGTATATGGTAATTTGATTTATTTGTAAAATCAAGCCAAGATTTATGTCGCGCAAGAACCTGAATTTAGATATGTATTGAAGAACAATATTTGATGATTTAATGCTTTCAAGAGTATCTTTGATTTGTTTTCAAAGTGTTGTTGAAGAATTTCTATGGGGTATTTATGCTTGATCAAATATAGTTTTGTTTGTTGAGAGCTTTTAAGATAGTTTCATTACTTGAAGAGTTTGTCTTAAAATAAAATTTGTATCTCTAAAAATCTTTTTTTTTTCTAGGGTGAAGTTCTCTATTTATAGAATTTTATAGAGGCTCTCAGGTTCTTTTTCAATGACATATAATTTTATTTTATTGATTGATTTTTATTTATAAGATCTTATATATATGACAAGATATTTTAAATATTTTGTCCCACATGTCAACCTTTCATTGGCCTAGCTTAGCCATCATCATTTTAAGGATGATACTTAATAATTTCTGTTACATCTCATAAATTCCTCACCAATTCCATGTTCCCTTTAACTAACATTATCCAAATTTAATTTTCTATATGTTTTTCTTTATCTAAAATGTAAATAAATAGTTTTTTCATTCTTTAAAACATTCCATATATATTAAATTAAGAACCTGTATATGCTCATCACCCTTCACTTCTATAAATAGGCACCACATCTCCCCAGCTTCTCCTCAGATCCATCCTTTCAAGTACGAATCAACCAAAGGCAAATTAAAACATAAATTTCAAGCAAGATGGCAAGCTTTAGGAATGTAAGCTTTCTATTTTTTGGTACTATTATATTGCTTTTAGCATTTGTTGCTTGTGAAGATGAGCTTCCTACATCGTCTGGATTCATTCAAATCACAAACACCTAATTTGCCCTAAATGGCTCTCCATTCCTTTTCAATGAATTCAACTCCTACTGGATAATGTATGTTGCATCGCAGCCAAGTCAAAGGTGCAAAGTATCTAATGTGTTTCGCGCGGCTGCGGTCTTACTGTTTGTCGAACATGGGCGTTTAGTGATGAAGGTTATCAAGCTCTGCAGATTTCTCCTGGGGTTTCTAGTGAGCATGTCTTTCAGGTATATGCTTGTATATTTCTGTCTCTAAAATTGTGTTTTAACTTGTTTCCCAACTAAGAAAAATCTAAGCAATGCTAAATATACTGTTTGTAATTCTCAGGGACTTGATTTTGTGATTTGTGAGGCAAGAAAGTACATAATTTGCTTAATCTTGACATTATGCAATAATTACCATGACTTTGGAGGGAGACCACAGTACGTGAATTGGGTTACAGCCGCAGGAGTGCCAGTAAACAATGGTGATGATTTTTATTTATACAAACGCTGTTGTGAAGGGCTATTACAAGAATCATGTCAAGTTACATATTTTGAGCACTAAATAAAATATGACAGATTTCCTTTCTGTAATGTTATGATTAGAGATGAATAATGTTTCTTTTCTTTCTTTATTTTTTTTTTCAACACAGAGAGTGTTAACAAGGATCAACACGATCACTGGAGTTGCTTATATGAATGAACCAACCATCTTGGTATGGGAATTGATGTACCGTGTACGGACCTCGCTGCCAGGTTGACTACTCTGGAAAGACTGTAAACGTAAGAAACAACAACCATGAATAATTGATAATTTTTGCAAGTAACCGTCAGGTTAATTATAATATCATCTATTAATTAATGATTGTCTTTAAATCTGATAGGGATGGGTTCAAGAGCTAGCACCCTATGTTAAATTTATTGACACTGAGCATTTGTTGTCAGTAGGTATGGAAGGCTTATATGGGGACTCAATTCCTGACAGGAAACGATACAATCCTGGTTAACAAATCGGCACACATTTTATTAGCAATCATCTCGTTAGGGAGAGTGATTTTGCTATAATACATGCATACCTTGACATATGGTAAGCACGAAAGGAAATAATAATCAATCACTCATGATGTTTTATTCACCAAACTTAAAAAGACATATTGCAAAGATAATTAACACGGTACTGTTCTGTCAAATTACAAGGTACCTGGGCAGAGTGATAATGCACAAATGGAATTCATGCCGAGGTGGATGTCCAGTCATTCGACAGACTCAAAACACTACAAAAAATTCACTCAATATCAATGGATTTACCGTTAGAAAGAAATAAGCAATGAATTTACCGATAGAATATTTATGTCAGTAATTTAAAGTCAAAATTATTAATAGAAATTTTTCCATATGTAATTCAGTTAGTAATGACCGACGAAAACTTTCTATCAGTAGTTATTGACTGAATTACAGATGAAAAACGGTCTGAATTAAAAAAAAAATGGGTTGCTGACATGGATGTTATAGCGAGGTTATTTTTTCCGATAGAATCATCGACTAATTCAAAATGATAAATCCGTACAGTGACGTGACCGATTTCCTATTTAAAATTTTGATGGAATCACCGGGGGATTTTAAATGGTGGATCCATATGGTGATGTTTTGAGTTTTCCGTCAGAATAGCTGACGATGTCACCAATGGATTTCCGTCGGTGAAACCGTTGGAAAAAGTTAATATATACCATCTTTGCCGACCCTCTCCTCCCCTATTTCTCCTTCTTCTTCTTTCTAATCCCAACTCTCCCCATTTGTAAACAACAAGCCCCCCTCCCTCCAAACAAAAATCTCCCTCATCTTAGCACAACAAGTTATATTTCTTGAAGTTTTATGGTCACAACATCCGTGCTCTGATTTACCAATGGATTTTATCAATTTTTGTAAGTAATTCTATCTTTTTAAATTTTAACATTTAACATTTAAATTTAAATTTTATTGTTTTTTTAGTATATGTATTTTGTTAGTAGATGTACATGTTTTATTGTTAGTAGATGTACATGTTTTATTGTTATTTCTCAAACAAACTTGTAGTATATGAATGTATAATTCTATACCTGTTATGGTTTATTTTAGATTTTGTAAGATTGTATTTATTTATAAATTGTTAAAACTTTATGGAATTACCGAATTACATGTGCTGTTTTAAAATAATTAATAGCTTGCTTAGTGGGTCCGTTTAAAGTTTTTTCGATGGTATTGTTGAGTGATAATTTTCATAAATTTTTATATATATATATATTAATTTGTATGGACATTGATAAATAATAATAAATATTTAATATTTATGAGAAGTTGTGATTGATTTGTTGGATAATCTTGAAGTAAAGTAATATTTTTGCAAGTTTATTTACCTAACTTAGTTAATTAATACATGATATCATCATAATTTTATATAGGTTCAATATAAGTCATGAATGATTGTTCATGGATGTATTGAGATTCACCCTAAGAATTGCGGAGGATTGATTATTGTAATAAGGTTCAGGGTTTTATTAATTTTGTAACATCTATTCCCAGAAATTTTACTAGAGGTGGTATTAAGTGTCCATGCAGGAAGTGTCAACATAAAAAATATCTGCATCCGAATATTGTAATGATGCATCTTCTATACAAAGGGTTTATAGAAAATTATCAGTGTTGGTATGCATGTGGAGAAGTATTTGTTAGTAAGAGGAGAATGAGAGAAATGGTGGTTAGGTCAACTTCTAGTGGTAACAACATGTATGAAGCAACAAATGACAACACAAATCCTTACAGAAATATGGTTATGGATGCAATGAGAATGAATCAAGGTAATGTTAGTCAATTTCCAATCGTAGAAGAACCTAATTCAGATGTAGCTAGGTTTTTTGATTTATTAAAAGATTTTAATGAACCATTATGGGATGGTCACACAAACAATAGTAGATTATCAGCCGTAGCACAGGTGTTCACCATTACATCAAATCACAGGTTGAGGGAGGCCGAGTATGACAAAATTATTGAATGGACGAGAAGCATTTTACTTGAAGGGAACAGGCTGAAAGAGAACTTCTATGTTGCGAAGTGCATGATGAAACCCCTCGGTTCAGGATACTAGAAAATTGACGTGTGCCCAAACTTCTACATATTATACTACTTTGAAAATGCTAAGATGACCGAGTGCATGACATGCGAGCATTCCTGTTACAAACCTAGAACTGGCAGGGGAAAGACTCTAGTGGTATATAAAAAATTTAGATATTTCCTGATCACACCTAGACTGTAGAGGTTATTCATGTCACCAAGAACTGCTAAGCACATGACATGACACCAAGCACATGATGCGGTTGATAGAGTGATGGTGCATCCTTCTGACGGTGAAGCGTGGAAACACTTTAACAGTGTTCATTCTCACTTTTCAGTTGAATCAAGGAATGTGCACCTTGGGTTGTGTACAAACAGATTTAACCCATTCAGGTTATTTAGTGCTTCTTATTCTTGTTGGCCGGTCATACTCATAGTTTATAACTTGCCACTGTAATACCTAGTCCAAGCAGCCCGAGACGGAATATAGATGTTTGTCTTGTACCGTTGATTGATGAGTTGTCGCAGTTGTGGTCTTCTAAAGCTCTGACTTATGATATATCGAGGAAACAAAACTTCCTTATAAGGGCAGCTTTGATGTGGACTATCAATGATTTTCCAGCTTATAGAATTTTTTCTGGTTGGAGCATGCATAGGGAACTCGCATGTCCATACTTCATGGAAAATAACAAGGCATTCACGCTTACAAACAGAGGGAAAGCTTCATTTTTTGACTATCATCGTCGCTCCTTGCCACGTAATTATAGGTACAGAAAGAACAAAAAAGATTTCTTTATTGATAGAGTTAAAAAAGATGTTGCATCCCTGCGTCTTTTTGGTGAAGAATTGCATGATGTTGCATCAGACTAGGGTGACATTGTGTTTGGCCTTCAATCAGGTAAGCAAAAGTTTCATGGTTTTGGTTTGACCCATAATTGGATAAAATGAATTATCTTTTGGGATCTTCCTTATTAAAATACCAATCTGCTCCGCCATAACCGTGACGTCATGCAAATAAAAAAGAACGTGTTTGAGATAATTTTCAACACCATCATGGATGTGAAGGGGATGACAAAGGAAAATATCAAGGCTAGATTAGATGTAGCTTTATACTGTAACCGTAAAAATATAGAGTTGGTTTATGATGAATCACGGGTTGCAAAACCAAGAGCAAACTTCGTGTTAGAGAAAAACACACAACTACTAGTCTACAAATGGCTTAAGAGTATGTATTTTCTGGATGGACATGTATCGAACATATCAAGATTGGTTAATATAGAGGACTGTATATTATATGGAATGACGAGTTATGACTGTAACGTGTTTATGTAACACTCATTCCATTAGCTTTTCATGATTTGTTGCCAAAAGAAATTTGGGATGCACTCACGGAGATCAGTCATTTCTTCAGAGATATATGCTCCAGCAAGTTGAATGTTGAGCACATTGAGAGGCTTCAAAT